ACTATGGAGCTCATACAGTTTGCATGGTGATCTGAATTTGGCAGGCATTATCATCATCTAATCCTTAGCACAGCCCTGTGAGATGTACAATATAATGTAAGGAACTGACAGGAACCCATGTCAGACTAGCTTGGGCAAAAAGTGGATAGAACTGTTCTGTTATCCAGAAAGGACAGCTTGATGGTGGCCTCATATGATAAGGTCATGAATCTTTATCAGGTTACGTTTCCCCAAAATGGCTGCAACAGTGTCTCCCTCCCACATGCCTTTCCAACAATGTGAGTCTGACACAACCCCTCGTCAAGAAATGGGGTCTATGTTCTCTCTTCTTGAGTTTGGATGTGTTTATGACAATGACAGAGGTGACTTGAGAAGCTAGGTGATACAGATTCTGCCTGGGTTTCTTGTGACACTCACTTTGGGAACACAGCCAGAAGACAGCCTAACCCACCTGGAGAGCCATGTGTAGGTATTCTGGCTGGCCTCCAGCATCAACCACCAGACACATGTGTAAGGAGGACTCCATTCTGCCATCATGTGGGTACAACCACATGAACCATCCTGAACAAGAGCCACCCCTCTGACCCCAGTCAAGCCCAGAACCATGAAAATGATAATGAAATTATTGTTATTTTAAGCCACTAATTTTTGAGGTGACTTGTCACACAGAACCAGACAGTTTTTCTTCCAGTGTCCAAATAAAATATCAGGTGAAAGCTAGTCTGCTGAGTCATATGCCCACCTCTGGATACTCACTGTGGCCCAATGAACAGAGTTCTTTGACCTAGGTTGCCTTTTGCACATTGTCCCTTTCCCCTCTTAATGGCACTCCAATTTTATTTGGGCTGACAATGTGCCCAGTCTCTTTTATAGGTAGGCATGACTATGTGGTTAAATTCTGGCCAGTGAGATGTAAGCAGAGATATGTGTGGTTCTTTAGGGACAGATCCTGCATATTTTTCCTACAATCATGCATAGTTTTCTACTGCTACAACAAATTGCCACAGGTTTAGTATCTTGAAGCAAGACAGATTCTCTTTTGGGAAGAAGTCTTCAGGTTAGCAGTCCAAAGATAATTCAAGGCTTCTTCAGAGTCATCAAGAAACAGGATCCTCTTATCTTTGTTTCTGTCCTTAAATTCTCCTCGTGGTTCGGTATGGCTCTTGAATCTCCCTCTCTCATGTCTGCCTGTGTGTCTTTTTTCTCCTTCCTCACTGCATGTGGAGTCTTCAGAAATTGGGGACTTAGTTGGAGAGGATGGCCTTTGCGGACCAAGGAGAATGTCCTTTGATCAAGGACACTAGTGGTGGAGCTATGTTTGTGATCTAGAATTTCACAGCTCCTATTCTCTTTTCTAGATTATTGTTCTTAGTTTTTCTCCTTCTCTGTGTAACAGAATCTTATACCCATGTCCTTTGTCATGAGACTCTGTAGTGCCTCTTGATGGAGTAAGCAGAGTGAACATCCTGCCCTTTTGACTTTGAGCTTGTCCATGAAACTTGTTTTGATTAAGGAAATGTGAGTAGATATGACCCAGGCAGAGTCTTTGAATGTGTGTGCATATCTTGATTTGGTCTCTTGAACTTTGTGCAATCTTCCAGGAGAAAAAAATGCCCCAGATAGCTGCTAGTTTAAGAAGGAGGAGATATGTGGAACAGACCTGAACCCAAACCTCAACCTGGAGTCAAGCTCAGTTGACCTGAAGAAAGTCTATCAGGGTCATAGTTGAATGGCAGGCCCATGAATGAGAAATACACACTCATTTTGATAAGGTAGAGTGTTGAGGATTATTTGTTACAGAACATTATGATAGCAAAAGAATGACTGATACACCCTCCAGGCTACTCAACTCAGGAGAAAGAGTTAACAACGTTATTTGTTACTTTTTCTGTTGAAGGGAATGAAAAGGGAATGTACTGGCTCACATTTCTGAAAAGCCCTGGAGTTGATCTGGCATCTTGTGTCCCTAATTCTAGAACCCAAATGACATTACAGAGCTCTATGTTTCTTTCTACCTATCCCTTGTTCCTACTTCTTTTTAAATGTTGACATTGTTCTTTGCTGTGGAACTGGCTTCCTCTATGCTGCTGGGAACTTTTGATGTCCCTACTAGAAATTCTGTAGGTGGGTGAACTTTCTACTGAGGCCTGGCCAGTCAAGATCCTCCATGCCCCTGGCTGTGAGATTGGATTAGAGATGGTCAGATAATGTCATCATTCTTACCTAGAATTTTCATGCTGGAATCAGGAAAAATGATCCCTCCTATAGCATAGGGTTTGGAATGGTCTAATTCCCCAGGAATAGGGAGGTAGGTTTATTCCTCAAAAGAAGGGATGCTGGTCCAAGCACACATGAGTATGAAAGAGATGCAAATTGAGATTGAGAAAGAGTCTGGGCTACCTCAGTCAGAACATTTTGAATCTTAAAAACCTAAAAAGATTAATTCATTCTTTATTCATTCAAAGCTCTTTGGTTGATTAAGAATAGCTATCACATATTCATTTTTGTGTGTTTATTAGGCATTTGTTCAATCCTCACTCACAGATTATCCTTATTTTATAAACAAAAATATGAGGCTTAGAGGACGTAAGAAACTACCTTGCTCAAGGTCACAAAGAATAGAAGTGGCCATGCTGTGGTTTAAATTCAAATCTATCTGTAAAAATCGTGCTTTTCCACCCCAACATATCGCCTCATGATCCAGCAGTTCCTAGGGCCACAATTGGGCAAAACTGTATTAAGGGCTGAGGTAATCGGCCCTTCCCCTCCTACGGTGAAGCTGCTCACCCTGCCCCTTTCTTTTGGCATATGCTGTACTGGACAAGATGCCCTGGTGCTGGTGGGTGATTTCTGTGTGGTCATCTCAGCAGCACCCTGAGCTCTATCTTACTCATGGTCTCCATCAAAACTGTGCTGACTCTCATACCTTTAAGGCCCTTGGTCTCTAACAGAGATGAACCCAATCGAGTATTCACAAGAGAGGCCCCTAGCTAAGTCTCCCCTTTGTACTTGATAAAAACCTTTAGGGTCTTCCTTCTAAAGAAGGGTTCCTGGTGGAACAGATCACTGGGCAATGGCAACAAAGCATAAAAACTAGGAACTTAAATGACAGAAATTTATTCTTCCACAATTCTGGGTGCTGAAAGTCCAGATTAAAGGTATCAGCAGGGTTGATTCCTTTTGGGGACTTCTTTGAGAATTCCATGCCCTCTCTTTGCTTCTAGTATTGTCCACATTCTTCAGCATTTTCTTTGACTTGTAGCTGCATAACGCCAATCTCTGGCCCCCAGCTGCACATGTGTGTGTCTCTGTGTCTCAAATTTCCCTCTCCTCTCTCTTATAAGAACATCAGTTATTGGATTAGGGCTCACCTTAAATCCAAGCTGATCTTATTTTGAGATCCTTACCTTAATTACACCTGCAAAGATCCTATTTCCAAATAAGTTCCTATCCACAGGTATGGTGTGTGGGTGGTTAGGACTTGGATATATCTTTTGGTGAGACACAGCTCAACCTACTAAACAGGGTATTTTGGGGCCCCACAAGTCATATCCTTAGATGTTACCCTCCTCTCCCCACCAAGTGCAGAGTCCTGTGTTATCTTTGGTATCTCACCAATTTTCCTGGAAAAACAGCTTTTTGGGTCTTTACAGCTATCTTTAATCTTTACAGCCACATAAAAAGGAAAATATTTGTGATCTGTAGACTTATGCTCATTTATTACTTAGCAAGAATACTTAACAAAAATCATAAAACAAAAGAAAAAGCTGTTGGTTGACCAATTTCTGGTCTTCCAAGGGTTGTGTCGTACCCAAGACAAGGAGGTGTTGCAAAGCAATGGGGTGGAGGAGGTTCTCTAGTTAAGGGAGTGAAGAGATCTTCCCAGGACACCTGTGAGGCACTGCAATTTGTGCTTTACAGCTCTTTCAGGGCAAGGAGGCATCTGAGTGATCTTGAAACCCTAGGGTCCTGAAGGGGCTTTGCTTAGTTTTTTGTCTGTTTTTGGATACCCCAAGTCCTTTCAAAAGAGAAGTGGTGTGCAATCATACAAATAAGCAAATAAAGGAAGAAACTTTCTGTTTTTCTCCTTGGGAGTTGCCGAGGGTAGAGGTGTTGTCTTGCCTAACGAGGCTCCAAAGCTCTGCCAAAGCCTGCCTCTGCTGGGTATTTCTCTAGGCTCATCCTCAACTCCAAACACCTGTACTTTAATTTTGAGCACCTTTAATCATCTGGCTTCTTAAACCACTCCCTCATAATTTCCCAGCCTGCCTTCTATCAAGCAAGCTTCTCTTTCCTCTCTTCTGGCTTCCCTTCCTACCTACACTGGGTACATGACCTTCTGCTCAACCCCACTTTATCGATGAAGAAACAGGTTTACAGAGGTGACATAACTTACCCATGTCTACACAACTCGGGCAGTGGCTAAGCCAAGGTTCCTGCATTGCAATCCAGTGGCCTTCCCCCCAAGATGTCTGGTCCCTGATCTGCAGCACTGGTTGGTTCACAGGCACTGGTTCTTGGAACACTTTTGGTTTGGTGAGAACATCCTGGGGTACCCCACACTTACTTGCATGGTTGACTCCTGAATTACTGGAGCACTGCCAAAGTGGGGAGCAGCACTTTGTGACCCCAGGTCAGGACTTGTCCAGACGGTGGGGAGGGAAGTATTGAAGGTGAGGATGTGCACAGGGTAAGACCTCCAGGCTGCTAGCAAGTTCTATTTCTAGGCATCATGCAAAGCACTTTAACCATTTTATCAGCCCATTCATTAACAAGGAAGTGTGGCTCTAAGAAGATATGTGATCTAGCACCTACAGGACTGAAGTGCGATTTACAGGTAAGTCTGTCATCACAGCCAGGTGGGACTGCCTGCCTCTTTGCCCCAGCAGAGTGTGGAGAATGGTAAGCCAAACACTTCTAGACAAAATCTTTAGTAAAAAGAAGTGATGAAGAGAGACTGGAACACAGTAAAGTATTTAAAGAACCCAGGTTACCAAATGTTTAAGTAACAAATGCACTTTTAATTACCTACAGATAGAACTACTCAGCAAAGAGCAGTAGCTACTTCAGCCCCTAATGTGTTAGAGCCACATCCTGGACAGTCTTGAAGAACTGGGCTAACTGGTTATTTTCATTATTTCATTTCATCCATAGTATTAGAAAAACAAGGCATTATATCAGTTTAGATGAGTTGTGTGGCTGGCAGTCGAATCTAGTCCCTTATATTCCATATTTTTTCTTTAGGTCTTCTACTTTGTTGATGTAAGCTTTCATGGCATCTTCCTTGGAAGTCCCTGTGAGGAATCAACAGGATTATCTGTCAGAGAGGCAGCATGGTAGAAAAACAGCAGACTTCAGAGCCCCAGACAGCTTCTGTTTAATGCTCTGGGCTCAGTTTTTCACCTATGAAGTGGGGGTTCCACTACCTCTGCTTCCCAGACCTGGCCAGGATTTGACTTGAAATGCTCCAGAGCCTGCCCGTAGTGAATGCTCTAGGAAGCTTCATGTGTGTGCAGCTGTGCTGAGGCCCCTCCCTGGCCTCTGGCCATGTGAGTACCCCAGTGTCCATAGGAAGTGGTCACTTGAGCCTCAAGCAAAGGCTGGGCACCCCAGATAGGCAGGAAATCCTAACATGGGGAGCTGAGGTGACTTCTCCAGTTCTACTGACTTTCACCGTTGCCTCTGACCTGTCAAGTGTTTCTCTGTTGGGCTTTTATCTCCCAGAGCTGTTAAGTTGACACTGAAAAAGCAAAGCCAGGCAACCTCTTCTCCGTAGAAGGAAGCTATGAGAAAAGTTTCAAGCAACTCTAGGAAAAAGCATCTGGTTCTTGGAGGGGAATAAGGCAAATTTTTGCCTTCTTGCTGCAATACATAAGTTATTGCCTCTATCCCTCAGAGACAGTAACACCCAATTTCCTGGATTCCGTGGTGCAGGGGAGATACAAACTGGGAATCAGAGTGTGCTTTGTAGCATGGGAGAGTACACGGGCCTGAGGATGGTATGGAAATGCCCAGGGAAAACAGACAGACAGGCATTCCTGTTCCAGTTATTTGCAAATCATAGGAGTGTATTGATTCTATTCTGGCCCTCTTTGAATTCAAGGGTTTCTCATTTGCAGGAAGACAGAGGGCTTATTCAGAAACTAGCCAGTGAGAGACAAAAGCTGGCAGGCATTTTACTGCCAACTTTTGGGTCTTGCTGCCACAGGTGGCATGTGATTAAGTTAGAGCCAGGATATTTCTTGGCGGCTGTTGCCTAGCATATAATAGCTCCATTCACTGTGCCAGCAGCTTGCCATGCATTTATTACCTCATTGCTTCCTTTTACTGGCCTTTCTGACTGGAAGGGACCTGAGGAGGGCTGCTTGGATGAGGGGGTCACTGCCTGGCCTAGCTGGGGAAAGATGTGGGCAGGAAACCACCCCTTATTATGAATACATATAAAGCCCATGCCAACCACATCACCTCCCAATCTGTTTTTCAGTGGCCTTGTCCTTAGTCCGTCCTCTCCAGAGATGGTGCTTGTGGAAAAGCCATAAAAGGGATTAGGAGAAAAAGTAGGTGACTTGAGTTTTTTTCTATTCTGGCACAGGTCAAGCTGGTTTCCAGTATGTGCTCATCCACTTTGTCTTCTCTCCTCACCTCTTAATATGGTCCATCAGGAAGAGTATTTCATTACTGGGTTTCACAAACCAGGGAAAAGGATTAGAACAATTACCTTTCAGTGCGTTCCAGGCATCCCACTTGGCCTTGCCTCTGAGGTCCAACAGCCCAGGCCGCTCTTACACAAGGGAAGGAAAGACATCAGATCTGCTGCAATTCTAATGTACAACTTTATCAACTATTTTTTTTTGCCAGGAAAGGCACTTTTTATTACATCTATTTCTTCTAGGCTCTGTTATGGAGTTAAATGGGTCTAGCACAGTGAGTTCTGCCTTTAGAAACCCAGATGCACAGAAATCTAAACTTAAAATCTAGAGAAAACAGGAGGAAAACTGTTTTCTTTTCCAAACAGTCCTTGCCTCACAAGTTAAGTAACTCTAAAATTTCTCCTTTTAAAAACTGTGTTTACCTTCAGCATTTTATTAAAAATAAAAATAAAAATAATAATAATAAAGGGAGAAATGTGGGATCCATATATAAATCAAGTATAAAAATCAAACGAATATTCAAATTTGACCTGATTGTTTATAGTTCATAATGCGTGATCAAAACCGAAAGTTTCTGTGATGAATGCCCTTGTACTGTTCACCATGTAAGAATTTATTCACTATGTAAGAATTCGTTCACCATGTAAGAACTTGTTTGTTATGCTTCAGAAGATTGGAGACTGACGAGAATTAGGCTTGAGATGGATTAATGATTGTGCATTGAGCATTGACCCCCCTATACAGAATTTTATTGTTGTTAACAACCATTTGATCAATAAATATGAGATGCCCTCTCAAAAAAAAAAAACAAAACAAAACCGTGTTTACATTAAAAAAATAGTGTACTACATCACTCACATGGCTTAATTTTAAATACTACAAAAGTGGATACTATAAAGTTCCCCTCTAGCCCTGTTTTAGCCACTCAATTTCTCTCTCATACATTACAGTTACCAGTTTTCTGGGTAACTTTTCTTTGAACTCTGTTTATACTCTTGCCCCATTTTTCCACCAAATTGTTAATCTGTTTCTTGTTGATTTGTGGGAGTTTTTCCGGAGGGCAAGGACTCTTCAAGGGTAAGGTATTCATAAAATACCAGGATTTTATGCTTACAGACCTGTCATTAGTTGCACTTGGGAAACACATTCACTACCTTCCTGTCGACCCGTTTCAATGCCAGGCTGAGAACAAAGCCCAGGGGAGCAACTGCGGCCCTCAGAACCTGGACCGCTGTGTCTGAGAACATCACATTTCTCCACGTGCTCTCAGGAAGCATTCCCAGGGATACCTGAGAGGAACTGCACCTGCAGAGTCGTCATCAGAGCCCTAAGGCAGCACACCCCAACAACTCTGTGTGTGATGATGGTAATGAACATTTGTACTGTCCAGCTCAGGGAACTCTTGCCACCTGGGACAACTGGGCACCTAAAATGTGGCTTGTGTGACTGAGAACTTTTGATTTTATTTTAACTACTTTCAGCTTAAATTTAAATAGCCACACATGACTAGTGGCTACCATACTGGACAGTGTCATCCTAGAGTGAGATGATATACTTCCCTGATCAAGAGCTGACAGATTCCCAAGCCAGTCTACCTAGACTCATGGGGAAGTGGGGTGGAGGCCAGTCTTAGTGAAATCTGTTTGGCAGGATTTCAGACAAGCATCTCAGTCAGACAAGCATCTTAGCCCCTCTGGTGTCCCCCACTTTATCTCTCCTTTTCTTCCCTGGTAGTATACATACAGTTTATCAACCAAGAATAAACTCACCTTCACCACAAGACCTTTCTCAACCAAGCTCTCCCTGTGAACTTTGATTTCGCATTGCCCATGATCCTTAATTCTGGGCACTATTTCCTGCATCCAGCTGGCTGGCAGCCAGTCTACCTGTTTTCACCCTTTGCTCCAATTGCTGTAGAATTGGGAGCCATGCTCACCCTCTTAAAACAGGGGCGGGGTGACGTCCTTCTATGTTGTCATGGACATCACCTCTGAGTCCCTGCAGAGACTGTACAATGCTGTTGCCTCAGTATACACACCCGAGTTTCAGGGATTTAGGGGCAGAATGAAAACTGTCCAAGGCAGGAAAGACAGTATTACAGAATATTAGTCCAAACCATGGCCTCAAAATCTGAACCAAGATTTTTTGACAGGGAACAAATGGTTTTATCAGGAGCTGTTGTCAGCAAAAATGCTTCTGACCTGCTGCTCCAGGAAGCCAGCTGTTTCTTTGCTCCTGACATCAAGTTTGGCTCCACTGCTGAGTGCTGACTTTGATCCTGCCTTTCAAACATAGATAGCAGTCTAGTTCAACAAAACTACTACTAAGCTGAGGGCATGGAGCAAGTCTCTTCCAAAGAGGATCTTTGCTTCCTCTCAAGTAGATGGGAAATGCTGGTGATAACCAGTAAAGTCTTTCCAATTTGAATTCAGGATTTGAATATTACTACCTGAGCCACCAAGAAACCAAAACAGTGCAGGGTGTGTGAACCCCATCCAGGAACATTATCTCTAGGGAGCCTCTACAAGCTTGAACTCCAGGAATGCCATGAGCCACCCCCACGTTCTGCCAGCAGAGTAGGGAGTAGGGCCTCAGGTGGTTTTGCAAGTGTGGTTCCCACAGTGTAAGAGTTCCAGCAACAGTCAAGGTTGCTGAACCTGCTTTGATGAGTAGGCCCTCCCAACCTCATCTCAGCCTACCTGTATTTATGTCACCCACAGTTGCTTGCTTGTAGTGGCCGTAGATGAACAGCATCTCATCATCTGCTGGCTTGGTCTTGAGGTTCTTAACATCCTCAGCAGCTTTGTCAAACTCAGCCTAAAAGCCAGGGAGAGGAGAGGCCTGAACTGACTCCACAATGGGGATGGACGGGCTGAAAGGCAGCATTCCTCCTGCAGTGCAGGTGTGCAAGAGCAGTGTGTCTCCCCGCTATTTCCCCAACAGGGCAGCTAGAAAGACTCCGCAGAACAAGGAGGGGAAGCACATGGGCTCACTCATCTGGTGGAAAGCTATGTATTGGGTGCTCTCTCCACACCAGGTATCAGGTGGTGGTAATACAGAAGTGAAGGAGGCAGGCTAGGGCTGCCTGCAGTGGGCATGTATTTCATGGGAAAAGCAGTGTGGTCAATCGCCAGGCCATCACCAGACCAGGCTGGGGGCCCAGCAAAGCCCTGATTTGTGTGAAGGGCTGGCACAGCTTGCTTGAAACAGCTGAAACTGGCACAGGCTTGAGTGCAGCAATGTCAGCGGCCAGAGTCTGATGGCCCCCAAACCCTGGGGCCGGGCCGTCCAGGGTCAAACTCTATTCCAGTGATTCAACAAGAGAAAGGTGAGTTGAGCCAGAGGTCGGTCCACACAACTCAGTCTCAGAAGAGAATGCATATTGGAAGGTGGTTAAAGCTTCTGGGTCACCTCTCCCCAGGCCGTGACTCTCCCTTTCCTGCACTCCCAGCACTAGGCCCTACTTCCCTTGACCTCTAAGCTCTCAGCCACTGCCTCTCCGCTTCCCCACTCTACAGGGTGCCCTACTTCTGGCCTGTCCTTCCGGATGGGGCGTCGGTCCCCTTGCTCCTTCAATGCATGCAACCCTTCACGTCCCATCTTTCAATAGGGATAGAGCCCTCGCCTCCGATCCCTATTCCTACTTTACCGTGATCTTTACCCCGTGTGCAACTTTCCAGCAGTTGCACGGTGGGTAGTGGGGATGGGGGTCCCAAATGGAAAGTTCGCTTACAAGGGTCTTTCTTAACTGTCAGGGTCGGGCAGGAATCCAAGATAAACAGTGGAGCAGGGAGGGGAAAGACCCTGCGGGGTCCTGCCTGCCGGATAATCCCCGCATCGGGCTTCAGCCCCGCTGCACTTTCGCAGCCAGGCTGGGTACCTGAGACATGCTGCTGGCGTTGCAAGGAATCCCACGAGGCCACTAAGGCACCAAGGAACAGGAAGAAGTAGTACACGATAAGACTGGCAGCGCTTTCAGAGGCGCAGCCGCAGGCCTCCCTAACTCAGCGTGGGCGAGCGACCAGCAGCCAATCAGGAACCGCTCTCCTCTGGGGGCGTGCCCAGACTATGGGGCGCGGCGAGCTTGGCCGGAGTTCGGGTGGAATTGCTCGCGCACGCGCAGCAAGGAGACGAAGGGGACGCTGGGAGCAGGTGAGCACCGCGGAAGTAGGGTGTACTTGGTCGTGAGGGCGGGTAGGGTTAGGTTGGCCCGGCGTCACCCCCGACCACTCTGGGAAAGGCTCGTGAGGCGGGCGGTGGGGGGAAGCCAAAGAGGAGAGGCTTTTAAGTTTGTTTCATTAAATCATGTGCGCGGCGTGAGGCCGGTAGTTGCACCTCTGGACAAGCACGTCTCAGGCCGTATGGGGAGCGCGAATTGTCCCCGCTCCTCTCAGGGGTATAGGGGGGACCCTCTAGGGATGGTCTCTGGAGAACTGCACGACGGCAGGAAACTCGGCCTGTCCCCAGAAAGGCGAAGCCAAGGCCTCTTTCCTTGACCTGCCTCTTGAGTTTTGGGGCCCGCCCGTAGTTTTGGTTTGCAGTCTTGTATTGTGAATTTTTGTTAATGGTGAAGTTCTTAATATGGTGCATTAAAGGCAGGGACAGTGCCTTAATTGTTTTGGTTTATAAACTTGGCCTGGACCAGGTTTCTAGCAAACATTCGATAGTGAAGAACTCTTTCATGTTAATGTGCACTGTTCTAGATCTTGGGTATACAACAGTGAACAAAATAGATAACTCTCTGCATTTCTGGAACTTAAATTGGGGATAAGAGTTATGCGATAAATGGAAAGTTTGTTAGGGGATTGGGGAGTTGGAAATTTACAGTTTTATGTGTGGGGTGTGTGGAGGGTTAAGGGAAGACAACATTTGAGAAAGCCCCTCGAGAGGATTCTAGGCAAAAAAAGTGAGGGGAAGAGGATGGAGAGTTGACGGGGTAGGCTGGCTAGGTGATGAAGAGCTTTGCTTTTATAGGGACTTTGGCGTTTATTCTGAGTGAGAAGGGAAGTCGAGTCTTGAACAGAGGATGATGGGGGGTGGGGAGCATTCTTTGCAAGGTAGTACAGAAGCTGATGTTTCCATGGGAATAGAAAGGAGCAGCACAGGTGGATGGGAGATTTGAAGTGTAATGCCTGAAACACTGAAGGGAGAATTTTCTGGCAGTGGATTACACAGAAGCTGAGTGAAGGTGGGAAATTGATGGAGAAAGTTCTCTAGAGATCTTTAAAAAAGATCAGTCCTCTCCAATTCCTGTTTTGTCACAAGAGGACTGGACTACAAATCTCCACCTTCCCCACCTGTACAATTAACAGCTGTAGGTTTTAAAAAGAAAGGACAGGTGGAAGCTTTCAGACATGACTTCCTAACTTAAGGTAGGTCAGGCTTTATAAAACCTTTGGGAACAAGTGGAGATGAAATAGGGAGCAAATCTGGAGTCTTTGGTCTATAAATTTGTTTAATAAAGCAAAGCCAAACAAATGAACAGAAATCTTGGAGTTAAATTTGGGGAAATTACATTTGAGTTGTAAGAAATTGTCTTGCCAATGGATTTTACCCCAGACAAGCTCACTAGGGATGCCATGAGACCAAAAAATGACAATGGAACCTTCTTGGGGTGAAAGGGTTTATTATCCATTACTTCCACGGTGGCTGGTCAATTACTAGAATCCCATCCACTCAGAGCAAGTTTGCATGCAGCAAGGTGGTCTCGGCCTCTGGGCCTCTCTGTCCCCACAGCTGTCTCAGTCAGTATCCTCTGCGCTGCTACCACTCCAGCCTCAGCTCTCTTGCAGCCTTGCAGCCCTGCACCCGTGCAGCAGCCTAGAGCACCGGATAGAGGCTCTTTGTGTAGAGTCAGTAACAACATATTGCCCACATGTTTGTAGTGAGCAAGCCAACCAGGACCAGGTGAGAATCCTGGGCATAGGAACCTTTATTTTCTCCACAGAAATGTAGGTTCCTTGGAGGTAGAGGGTATTATGCTCAGTGAAATAAGCCAGACAGAGAAAGGTAAGTACCAAATGACTTCACTCATTTGTGGAGTAAAAAACAAAGCAAAACTGAAGGAACAAAATAGCAGACTCACAGACTCTGAGAAGAGACTAATGGTTACTGTGGATAAAATGAAGGTTCCTGTGGCCAGGATTCTCACCTGGTTCTGGTTGGCTAGGTCACTACACATATGTGGGCAATACGTTGTTATTGACTCGATATAAAGAGCTCCGCCAGTGCTCTGCGGGACACAGTAGCGCAGCTGCAGGGCTGCACAACAGCAGAGCAGAGACTGGAGTGGTGGCAGCGCCAAGCACAGGCCTATTGAGTGGTTGCGCGGGTAGAGGCCCAGAGGCAGAGGATGGGCTTGTTGCATGCAGACTAGCTCTGAGTGAACGGGATTTTAGTGATTGTCCTGCCATCTTGGGAATAAAGTTGGGTATAACCCTTTCACCCCAAGAATGTTCTACTGTCATTTCTTTGGTCACAGTGAATCCATAGTGAACTTGTCTGGGGCTGAAACCCATTGGCAAGACAGTTACTAAAGGGGAGGTGTTGAGGAGGGTGGGTGGAGGGGAGGGAGAAGGGGATTAAGGGGCACTATAATTTTCAATCACAATATAGGCAGGTCACGGGGAAGGCAGTTTAGCATGGAGAAGACAATGACTCTATAACATTTTACTATGCTGATGGACAGTGACTGCAATGGAGGACGGTGAGGACTTGATAATATGGGTGAATGTTGAAGACACAGTGTTGTTCATGTGAAACCTTCGTAAGATTGTATATCAGTAATTCTTTAATATAAGAAAATGTAGGTTCTTCCAAAGTGGCAATTTAGAGCTGTTTATTTTTTACCCCCTGAGGCCCAGATGAAGCCTGGATTCATTTGTGCTCCATCATTTGGTGTTTATAGCTTCCTTGATGGAAATTCAGATTATGCCTGTGTGGGTCAAATTTGCAGTCAAATGAATCTTTCAGTCAGTAGGTTTTAACATTAGGTTATTATGTTTGGCACATTTGAAAAGATTAGGTACCTCTGATAATGTAATTTTCTTTATATTTCTCAAAGGTTGGTTGGTGTGATTGGGTTTTGACTGGAGTTAAACAGTGTAGAAAGTGAGCCTAGGGTTTTAAATTAACTTGGAAGTCTCTAGTTACTGGGGTTGATTGTCAGTTGCTTGTTTGGAATTCCATGGTGCTTTTATGCCCAGGTGAGTTTACAGAAGTTGCTTAAAGCAACTGCAGTATGGGACTGGTAAGGATTATGGGTTCCAGGGAGGAGGGTACTAAATGATCTTGACGAGGAGGAGAAAGAAATTTTTTTCTAGTTACAGGGCCACTATAAGCCAGTTTTCAAAGTAGCTGAAGGCATGCCCTTTGGCCTACTTCCTGCTTCCTTGCCTCACTTCTCAGTGACCCATTTTTGGTAGTCTCCACCTATGGGAATGCTGCCTTAAGCCCTTGTTTTGCCAATGGATTCCAGTCCTGGACAAGTTCACTAGATTCAGTGTGACCAAAGAAATGACAGTAGAACATTCTTGGGGTGAAAGGGTTATACCCAACTGTATTTCCATGGTGGCAGGTCAGTCACTAGAATCCTGACCACACAGAGTGAGTCTGCATGCAGCAAGCCCATCTCTGCCTCTTGGCCTCTGGGCTCTCTGCCCATGCAGCCATCTCAGTCTCTGTCCTCAACACTGTCACTACTCCAGCCTCTGCTCTGCTGTCCTGCAGCCTTGCAGCCATGTCACCCAGAGCACTGGGTGGAGCTCTCTATATAGAGTCAATCACAAGTATTGCCTGCACATGTGTAGTGATCAAGCTGACCAGGGCCAGGTGAGAATTCTAGCCACAGGAACCTTCACCATATCCACAGCCCTCCACCTACCACCTCTACTGTAGGGAATTAGAACAGCATTTAACTTTAAAATAAAGAGATGGTAATAAGCCAGCATCTGGGATTTGATTTTTTTTAAGTAAATTTTAGAATGTATTTGGGGGTCAGTTAATATATATGTATTCTTTATGTGGATAAAGTGAAGGTTCCCATGGCCAGGATCCTCACCTGAACCTTAACTACCTGATGATGTAACTGGCTTGCTGCTAGGCTACTGCTTCCACACCCTAGACAATAAGCTATTATTGACTGAGACCATATAAAGAGCTCTGCACAGTGCTCTGGGCAGAGGCAGAGACCAAGGAGGGTTACTTGCAGACTGTTGGATGTAGATGTAATTCTAGTGCTCGACCTATCACTGGGAAAACAAGCTGGGTAATAAACCCTTTCACCCCAAGAATGTTCCATTATCATTCCTCAGTCTCACTGAATCCATAGTGATCTTGCCCTGGGCTGAAACCCATTGGCAGGGTACTGTATTTCAACATATTGGAAAGGAAATTGCTCTTCATATCTTGAGAAAGAGCAAATCAGCTCTGTTTATATCCTTGCTAGCAACTGTCACACTTGTAATTATTTCATTTACAGTTATTTTTATTTACTCTTCCATTGTCTGAGCCCCCTTCCCTACATAAACCAGGGAGGAAAAGGTTCAGTGCTCTAATTCCAATGTGGGTGAATGAGTGGAGTACACTTCTTTCTGTGAAATGTATTTCTTCTGATTAACCATGAACTTGGAAACCAACAGGTTTATTAGAACTGAAATGATGGGCTTGAGTGAAATAGAGGAACTCTTGTGCAGGGACCATGTAGTAACCTCTGTACCATTCCCAGGATGGAAATGGAACACTTGAAATGTTAAGGGAAGATGGGGAGCCTGATGAGCCAGCTAGCCAGCCTAAGTGACCTCCTCACCTCATAAGAAGCTATTGTCAGTATTGCAGCTTGCCTTCACATCCTTAGGATACCAGTTTTGATGACTCAACAGACCTCACTTGAAAAAATACCCCACAGGGTTAATTCCAGCTGAACTCACAGGTTGAGGACACCAA